ACAGGGAGGATGCAGCTCTGCAGGTCTCAGGCTGCAGAGTTCCTGGTGCTTCTTGCTGGGGCTAGGGAAGATGGGCTCCTTGTCTGCAGGTATGTGCTGGTGAAGGACCCAAATGTCACCAAGTAAAGGAGCTGCCACAGGAGGTCGGCAGACTGTGCAGCATCACAGATAATGAAGAGAAGGTTGACTGGATCCTCTCTGATACCTGGATACAAGGGGAGCCTTGGCCCTCCAGCTGTACTGAAGGAGGAACAGGCAGAGTTTGTGCTTGTTGAATTGGAAAATAGAGACTCCAGAGATGGTGAAGTCTGGAAACTTGTCACTTTAGGAAATAGGAGGAAGGCTCCAGCTTTTCCTGAAGACTTGCAGTTACGGAATAGGTTTATAGTGCCCTGGTGGCAGATAAGTAGCTGGGAGCAATGTGCAATGAACACCTGGTTGATGTTCATCAGTCACCTTTTCCAAGCTCCAGAATGATCCATCTCTATGTACACGAAGTCAAGAAAAGGTGCCATGGGTGATCAAGGAATTCTTGACAAAATTCAGATATTAAAAAACCCCCCAAAAACATGAGAGGTGGTGGAAGGCTGCTTGGAGAGGTCATTTGTCTCCATCACTGGAGTTATTAAAAATCTGACTGTATCCAGCTCTGAGCAACCTGCTCTAGTTGCTCACGCTTTGAGCAAGGGGGTAGCTTAGATGACCTCCAGAGGTCCCTCTGGCCCTTAGGGATTTTCTGTTATTCTGCAAGACTGCTGTTTCACCCCCACCTTCTAGTGCTTGGGCACCATACTTGGTTGACAGGAACTGCCTTCTGCCACAGTGCAGAAATCAGGAGGAAAGTGCAAGGCAACCACTCTTGCAAATTAAAACTTAGGCTGCCTTCTTTTATAAAGACAAAGGATGTGTTAGTGGTGGGCAGCCTTCCTTTATACAGTATCCTAGAGATCTGAGCATAGTTTCACGATGGAGGAAGACTGAAAATTAATTTCTTCTGCCTGAGAACGATGGGGATTCAACCTTCCTATTGCTTCCAGATTTTTGTGGGGTGAAAACTGTCAAGAGTGCTCTGCTGGAAGTGATCCACAGTGCAGAGAATAAAGAACTGAGAAGAAAACCTCTCTGCAGAATTCCAGTGGCTCAGAGCAGCCAGCCAGGAGCACAGAGACCTCACATAGTCTGTGTCCCTGTAAATGAATTTTACATTAATCTACTTCCAGCTCAAGTGTGTTCTGAAATAAAATGGCAGTGCAAACATCCTTTTTAAGAAGCTCCTCTTCAGTATCTGATGTTACATTCTAGGAGCAGCTACTGGCATGTGAGGCAGGATCCTACTTGCTGGATCTCCCTCCCTACGGGCGCAGGCTGTGAGAGAAATCACTAGCTGCTTTACTTTACGTACTTGGAGAAACTTCCAGGTGAGAAAAAGCCGCAAAACCTCAAGATTCTGGAAACACTGTGGTAAGTAAAGAAGGGAAAAAAAATAAAATCAAGCTTCAGAGTTTAGTGGCCTCTAGTGCTAGCTGGAAGCTGAGCAGGGATTTTCAGGTATTGATTCAGTCACCCCACTCACATTTTTGGTTCTTCATGTTCTTTTTCAGATCTAATATCAGACACCTGAAAATTCCGTCACTCTTGCAGTCACATGGCGCACAGCTGGGTGCCTCATACATCTTCTCTGAAGTCACCTAAATCCATTACAGACCTAAAAGTTAAATGGTATGGTGGAATCCCACCTGTGGCCCTGAGCCTTAAAGGCTGCTGTCTCTGTTATAAAAATTTGTCTCTGTCACACCTGTGAGAAGGCTGTCAAGGACAGCTGCAACCCACAGAAGAGCCAAGATCTCCACCAGTAATTTCAGCAGAAGTCTCATCTTGTTACATCTAAATTTCCTCAGGATGGTTTCACTCAAAGTATTCTTGCTTCAGCTGACTCTGTGCTTCTGTGAGATACAAATAGCTCTTTCTGGTCAGGATCTCAGGGAGAAGTAGAGTTTGTTGTATCGCTGTTTTTGTCACTGTAGATGTGCACAGATTGGGAGGCTTTGATGAATTAAGAACCATTACCCTATGGATATAATGTCTTACTACAATGAACGACCTTCATCACCTACAGTACGAAACCTTGCTGTGCCTGGTGCAAGTATAATACAGATCCCACTCCACCCCTAGAACTTCCACAAGGCAAAACATCACACACACTGAACAGTTGTACAGATTTTCCAAAAAACTCCCTGTGAGTTCTGATGTTCTCTCATTTCTCCCTCTTACAGACACCGCATCTGTTCCTTTAGCAGTTGCTGGCAGACAAGACAAACCCGGGTGCCAACTAATACTATATGATCTTCTGCTGAATTCATTTTCCACTTTTAAAATTAAATTACGGGTCAGATCCTCACTGGATTTAATACAGCTATTGCCTATTAAGCAGCTGATGGTCTGGCCTTGTACAGAGATTATTCTTCCTCTCTCTTTGGAGCAAGAACACAACCAAAGAGTTAGATTTTGACTTGACATGTGAAGTCAGTGAACACATTGATTGTTTTGTGTTTGATACATCCAGCATGAATAAATCACTAGGTTTCTAAAATCTGGGGAAAAACACACCATTCAGGAAAACAAAGAAGAAAAAGAAAGTTTGTAAAAGATACTATAAATCTTTTATTTCTTTTTAGTTACTATGCAATGCCCTTCATTTTGAAGGAAATGGTACAATCAATGATCTGTACTTCTTTCTCAGGAAAAGAAGATATTCGCACTAACAATTCAACATTTACTGACAAAAGACAGCTTACAGAAAACACTTATTGTGGGAAAAAATCATATTTTGTGATTACACATTATCGTGGACTATTCAGTGAAGTGTTACAATGTCAGGCATTTCAAGTGTACATTTAAAGAAATCTTCTAATTCAATATTAATGTAAAAGAACCATCTAAACCACCAGTGTTTGATGTCACCCTGATTTCTTCCTAGCCAGAGTTAAAAAAAAAAAACAACACCCTAATTTGAAAGTCTAAGCCCATTATACAATACACCTGGCCTTATCACTGCACATTGATTTATAAGAGTAGTCAACATATACTCAATTAACAGTAGATTTCTTACAATTAGAAATTTTTGTTGGAAACAATGTATTTCCTACCTCTACTCAGTTGCTATTCTCTGATCTGTTATATAAAATTAAAGTTTTGCTTTCAAAAAATACTTGTTCCTACGTGGCTGTTAGAACTATGGTTGGTGCTGTTAATTGTCCGAAGAGCACAGCTGGGAGACCACTCAACAACACACTTCACACACCCAAGGACAGACCTTTGGTAAAACTTAACCAAAGGAGAAGAGAAAAAGAAAACCACCATTACATTCAAAATCTGAAATATATTCATCACATAATATCTATTTTAGTACTGAGAGTGGGATATCGAATATAAATGACCAAAACTTAAGAAGTTTGCCTAGGGTTTCATTTATATAAAATAATTGAAAGTTTACTTCCACAGTCTAGGGTCCTTCAGTCTGAAGAACATATTTTTCCAAGTAAGAAAATACAGTTTTTGAATTAGCTTTTGGGCATTTTTCCCTGCCTACTCTACACCTGCCGACTATGTTGGCCAGATGAACTCTAGAGAGTTGCTGTAATCAATACTTCTCATTCACAAAGAATCAGGGATAACTTGAAATAGTCTTCAGTTTATGCCCTTGTTCACTGCCATGGAAGGTGAGTATCTCAACTGTGTCTTTAAAATTACTCAATCAAGGGATAATTGTAGGTTTTACTATAAAGCCTTTTCCAAGACATTATTTGCATCAAACACACCAATACTCTGGGGAAATAAGACTGCTCATCTACATTTTCTAGCTGGAGCAACATTTACACATCTGGGGCTCAGTCTTGCCAGCCTTAACATGTGCATAATGGTATTCACAGCAGTCATCCTATCAGTAGCAGTAGGTATGCCCAAATGAGTAAATTCATAGAGATGATTAAGTGTTTGCACAATCAGAGGGCTTTTAAAACAAATGATATTAAGTGTTAAAAATGAAAAGGGAAAGTTCAAGCATGACAAGGCAGACAAAGGTACCAAAGAACAGTCCGCAGCACCATCATTGGCTTAATTTGCAACTGCTGTGTAATACACCTCTCACCGAATCAGTGCAGCTTCTGCATTTCCAGGGGAAAACCGAGGCCAAAGCTTGGCCTGGATTCCACAAGCCTTGTTTGGACAAGAGGCCCTTTGAGAAAGGGTTTTCACAGCACTACTTGTTTTTCCCCAGTGATTATGCAACCTCAGGTCCTCCGTGCTCCCACCAGAGACCACAGATTGAAATTCCAGGCCCTTATCCACAAAGAAATGTAAATATATACTTAACTTCAAGCACATGAATAGTCTTACTGATTTTCAAGTGGCTCAAGGTAGGGTCTACTCATAACTTCAAACTTCAGTATAGGCTTAGGACCTTTGCTGAATCAGAGTTTTACAGAACGATCAGACCTGAATTTCTGTACGTTAAAGAAACAGCTGCAGGAGAGCACTTTTATCTATTTTCTTCCCCTCTCTTTTGTGATCTACTCAAGTCTTGAAGTAGATACATACACAAAAAAAGTCTGTTTTCCTGGGACATCTTTTTGTTTAAAATCAAACTCTAGAAATCCCAGCCTAGTCTGCAGACAGTAACAATAAAGTACAGCAAAGACAAGAAACTAAGCAATTGTGATGTGCTTCTACAGCAATTCTTGTTCTCACATCCAGCTCATTATGGGTCCATGGCTTTAAGACCAAACTGCTTAGAAATGTCTGCAGTGGTGTTTAGTAGCACCTATTAAATAACACTGCCCAATCAACAGGTAGGGAAAAAGGACCCGCCTGTTAAAGATTCAACAGTTGCATCTTTATCTTCTGGAATAAGAAATCCCTGTAAGAGGTAGCCCTCTTACAGACTAAATAAAAAATAAATAAAAAAAAAAAAAAAAAAAAAAAAAAAAAAAAAAAAAAAAAATCAGGCTTCCCCTTCTCTTCTACTTTTACACATAATGGAACGCCAGGAGACAGAATAAGTCCCCAAACATAGCTTGCAGAGAAATTTAAAGATTCCAAATATCTCTGTTTTAAAAACTGAACACCTGTATCCCAGGTGTCAGAGGAGCATATAGGTTTTAGAGCACAACAGAATGCATGCCAGACTCTGCTTTGCTGTGAGGCAAGCTCGCCCCTTCACTCTCCATCCTAGCAAGGCAAGTGCAAGCTCTGGGGTTCTTTGCTAAGGCCCTATGCCTGTGTGGGAATTTATCCCTAAAGGCATAGCCAGTACAGAGAAGCACCAAGATCAGCACAAGATACAATTTCAGTTGGTTAAAGAAGCTCTGCTTTCCATTCCCAAGCAGATTTGGTCCGTTTTTATTAAACAAAAAGTGAATAAAAGAGGAGAAAACAAAGCCAGACTATGCAGCGTATCTCAGAAGGAGAGAAATGGCTAAGTGTCATAGTTCTGATGTTTCAGACACAAGGGAAAAATATTTTCACAACTAGTTTACTGTTTAGTACCCTGTAGATACATAATATTTGACATTTATAGCAGTTTCTATACTTTATGACGTAGAATATACTTTAGATCACTAATGAAAAATAAACCCATTCAGAAGACTGGAAAATAATGTGCATAACAACTTACTTTCAAATGCAAGGTTATGAAGGGATTTTTTTTTTTTAACTTTCAAAAATATCTGTAAGAAAATATTATTTTACATACCTATATTACACAGTGAAATAAACTTTGTTATATACAAGGTTTCAGTACGAAAGAAACCACAGCCAGACATTTACTTGTGGTCTCGATAATTTCAGTTGTCTTGTATCAGTCAATACAACAGAGAGACTCTCCTTCACTCTTTTTCAGACTATTTCATTAGTAGTTACTAGTTGCTGTATAAAACCTGCGTGCAGACATCCACATATTAACCCTATGAGTTAGGTACGGGTAGTTATTACGCTCTCAAAGCAAGGTTGCACATCTGCTTGGCAACCACAGAAACTTGAGTATAATTCAATTGCATATTAGAGAAAAAAAGAAACAGCACAGACACCTGAGCTATAGCATTCTAGAGGAGCTTGGTGTTAAACTCTCCTTTGGATTTGGGTATTTCAAAGCCCAAAATGAGAACATGGGAGTCATTAAGGAAATAGTATATGGTGTATTTGCATAACCCCAAAAGTTATTTTTCCTCCTGAAGCGAGGATGAAGTAGTCTTTCACAGATTCTTCCTCGCTTGTGTACTTTAGGCTGAAAACACACCACCACAATCAATCAATTTGGCTCACATTGGCAAAGTTGCTTCATCTAGTCTTAACTAATCGAAAGCTGGTATCTACCTATTCTTAAACAACAAACTTTACTCCTGTCTCAGGGGCGGAAAGGACGCAGCGTACTTTGCTATTTGTGGTATAACTGTAAACAACTGCAGGGAAGACTGTATTAAGTATGCTTCGAGTTTACATCACACTTAGTTTCCATTATTTAAGTGAACTCAAGCTTATCTTCAAGTTCACCTCATCACTATTGTGCTTTAATGGGAAGGAATTTTGCATTAGAAACTGCCTCCAAATCAGTGTTTGCTCATACACTTCAGATCCCAGAACAAAGATCAGACAGTGCTGCCTGTGTGGGAGACCAGTTTGAGAGCTGAAAATAAGTTCAGGGAATATTCAAGATAAGCAGCACCACACTCCCCCTCCCCTCCTGTTTAATGAGGGACTTGCATGACAACTTTGGAGGCATGTCCTCTCCCTTCCTCTAATGCTATAGCTCAGCTGAATACCATAAAAATTAGCAAAAAAGGAAACATGAAATTCCTAATGAGACTGCGGTAAGGAAGGAAAAAAGGAACACCCTAAAACACCCTGCCTGCGATGCCTTCCTGCCTGTGCTCCCTCCCATCACTTCCCATTACAGCCGTGTTTACTGTGGGGCAGAACCTGTGACATGCTCACAGCCAGGAGCATCCAGCCAAGAGGCCACCCTCTCAAGGGACAGCTTACTCAAGACATACTCTTGCACATGAGCAACCTGCTTCTACTGCCTTGATGTGTACCACAGATGTAATCGGGAGCTCTGCCACTTGCTTTAGAGGAAACCAGACAGCTTGCAAGGAGCACTGGCATAGCTCAGTATCTGTCTGTAAGAGTCCCAGCACACACCAATGTGTGGACTCCTTAATCAGGGTTGTAAACTTCCCCCTTCCCTGGAACCGGTCAGCAATAAATACATCTTCAGTCCTCAAAGCCACACACTGATAGCAAAAGAGGAGGTCCCCCAGCCCACCTGCAAGTTCCTATCAATTAAGAAGGCACCAGGGACATCAAACTCTTTTCATTAAAATTACATCTTCATTTTAATTTCATTAAAATTACACCTTACACCTTCCAGGGGGCTGGCTACCAGTCCATGAAGCCTTGCAACAAGGCAAGCAGCTTGTTGCAATACCAACAGGAGCCACAACTGAAGAGAAACAGGGGAAGAGAACAGAAAACAGTATCCTCATGCTTCTCAGCTACCAAACTAATCATGAGCTCAGAGCTATACGACCATGTCCTGGAAGTTACTGGCTCCTTCTTAATAGTATTAAATACTCTTAACTTCTGCTGCTAAGTAGATGTCAGAGGCATTTAGCATCTTGTAGGGTCAGGCCTACTGGCAGATGGTTGAGGGAAAGACGATGCAGGAAGAGGAAGGGAAAAAGGTGGAAGTGAAGAGGGGTAGAATTGCCCTGAGTTTTATCCTCTACAAATAAGTCAGTGGTTTTATCATCAAGCACTGAAGGAGTTAAGCACTAAAGCACAGACACTTAATCAGCTTTCCCCCTTCCTTTCACATGTGATTGGAATGAAGCTGCACCAAAGCGGCCCAAAGGGCTTATAACAGCTCAATTTCGCAGCCTTCAGTTTTAATCCCCATCACCCAGGCTAAGCAGCATGGTGGTGCTGAGGCTGCTACTCCACAGCAGTCCGAGCACCTGGATGACGATGATGGTCTTCCTCCTCCTCTTCCTCCTCCTCTGCAGCCTGCAGGTGGCTGGAAAGCTCCTGGATCACAGCAGCCCTACCAATCTGGTCATTTCTCCTCTTCTCCATAATCAGATCCTCCAGGCTCTGAAACTCCAGCGTGTGGCTGCGCTTGTCACCCAGACGGATCTGCAATCGGTAGGGCTGCTTGCCTATGCGCAGCTCCCCGCCGATTTTAAACTCCCGCTTGCCATACCGGCACCAGGCGGCGAAACACTCAGAGTTTCTCCAGCTCAAGTCCCGGTCCTTGCAACCCACCTGCTCCAGGGCGTTGCGCACCACCACGGCCGGGCTGAGGGGTTTGTAGCGGTACAGTTGGTTGGCGATGCGGCCCCGTCTGCCCTGGCTGGCATCGGTGAGGAAGCTGTTCACCACCTCCAGCCTATGCAGGTGTACAACTTGAAAATCCCCCACATAAACCACCCAGTGCGGATACTGGGCCTGGCACACAAACTCCACCAGGTCACCCGGTTTGCATCTATTCAGCAGGTTCTCTGGGGTGTAGGTGCTCAGATGCCCCCCACCTCCTTCGTCACCCTCCTCTGGCAGCATGTCCTCCTCGGAAAAGCTCTTCTGGTAAATACACTCATCCCGGTAATAGACTGAGCACTCCACCTCGTGCAGTTGGGGATCGTAGGGCTGCAAGGCAGGGTGCTCACCCCCCAGGTCGTGCACCGAATCCTGCTGCTGTTCCAGCTCATCATCGTCATTTGAAAAGATGTAGGAGACCCCGATCCTGGGCCCTTCATCTCTGTCCATACCTGTCGGGTCGGCCGTGGGAACTTCCTTGTAGTTGAGATGGGTCAGCTTCTCCACCTGGTTCCCCATGCCCGCTGCAACGACAGACACACCGCGGGGCCATGAAGGCAAGCGCGGGCTCTGCGGCGCCCCGAGAAGCAGCGGGGTGGCAGAGCGCGGATCCCCCTCCCCACGCACCCCACCTCTCCCCGCTGCACCGCAGCCCTTGCCAGAGCCCCGGGAGCTGCCGCCTTGGGGCCGCAAATAACAGGGAAGTTGTAAAGCGAACAAAATCAAAGAGCCTGGCTCTCCTGGGCTGACTTGGTTCCTCCACGAGCGGAGCGTGTAATTAGTTTTATTAATTTCTTTTCTTTCCGACTCCAGGAGATCACTCTCTTTTTCAATATAGAAGATTACGATTCTTTCCCCCTGGAAAAGCATTATCAGAACTGGTGGGAATATTTTTCTTTCTGTGTTTTGGAGAATGCAAAACAATATTCTGCTTTTTCATTAATGCCTAGTTAGTCTACTAGGTGGGTTTATTATTCGTGCTATTTTAACATGTACTGGTAAATTCATGCTGTTAAAATAGACTACAGAGATAATTTATGGGAGCTAGGAGTAATGTCTTTAATTTTGTCTCATGTATTCCCTTTGTCTATTGTCTTGTAATTTATAAACCCAACTGCACACCACTGTTTTGAGGATTCACTAAACAGCAGCAAATGAAGGAACAAATGTAGTGTTACCGGGGTGCTGAGCACTGCCCACGAACTCAAAGAATACCATTTCCATCAGATTATACGCCTCTGTGGTTTCAAATATAGACCTGCCCTTTGGGGTGGGGAGAGTTACTGCCACTGGGGCTGGGGAGAAGCTCACGCTGCTCTGCTTGGGATGGTGGGGCAGTTGGAGCTGGTGACTGGCAGCTGGATCTGAACCTTTTTGTTTTGAATTCACCTGGTGACTACATCTACGGGAGCATTTTAGAGAACTGAAAAGCACATCAGGGGTGTGCTTGTGAAATGAATCTCCCAAACACCCACCGCCAAAACACACACTCTTCAGTTTGCAACTTGGTGCAGTTTCAAACAACACATGCACATTCCTTTCACGTTTAGCCAAACTAGATGTACTCCAGCTGCAGGATTGGATGACACTAGTTCAGTAAACCTCTAAAATGTCATTTTTCAGCAGTGCCTGTCTCACTCTACAGTTCCTCTCCTCTGTGGCTTCTGCTGGACAAAAGAGGACCCTGCTTCATAGTCACAGCTTTGTGGAATTGGTTCAGTTATTAAGTATTGACGTGTAAAGGTGAGAGTATTTTAAAAGTAGGATCTAGACTGAACATAGAAGTTACTTTTTCATGTTCTCCCATTTATATTGGAAGCTGTGTCTCAGCATCATACCTTACAGTCTTTGGAGCAGTTTTATTTCTTGGCTAAAGTGATTTGGCAGCCTTGTGTTGAAGGCCAGGTTTCCTTTTGAATCTGCTGTAATGTGTGGACAGTTGTGTCTGTGCAGGAGTAGAAACTCGGTATTGTCCAGAGAAGTCAGTCATGTGTGCGTGTACATCCACACATATTTGCAGCTCTCTATCTTGTTCTCTCATTTCTTCCTGTCTGCTTCAACTTGCTCCAGTGCTTAATTTTCTGCACCTTGTCATCTGCTTTGATCTCTTTGATCTCTTTGACTTCCCTTTCAATGACTGCTCCTCAGAATCCACATTCTCTGATCAATCTGCTGCTTTCTAGGATGAGAAACCATTGGCAAGTATTTTTGTGTCATAAAACACATACATAATGGCTACTGCGGCTGCAGATAAGGTATGGGGTGGAAAAACCACAAAGGTCTTACAGTGCCTATATATCACCTGGATTGGTGCCTAAAATTATGATGCTTAAAACTTCTGCTTGCTTAACATCTAAGCCTCAAAGCAGCTAAACTCCACAGGCACAAGGAATGGGGGTTGTGGCAGTGACGTGCTATCTCAGTGACTATGCTTTTAGAGAGACCATTGACCTTTTGCATAGCTTTTGAATAAAAGGACTTTGGTGCTTATCTGCCAAAGATAATCCAGTTTGTGCATTTAGAGTGGAGGGAAGAACGGTTGCGCAGTTGCTGAGCTGGGGGCCCAAACTGCAGCAGGGCAGAGCTGGGAACACATGTCTGTCCTTGCTATTGGAGGATCCTCGATTAGATGACTCCTTGCTCAGTGTGGTGGCATTTGTTATCCAATGTTGAGATACTCAGCTCTGTGCACATATTATAGAGGGAACACTGTGAATACCACAGTCAGAGATGTGCTTGAACACCTACAAAAGTCAACAGGGATGCCCACACTCTTAAATAAGGTAACTCCCTCGGGTCACTCCTAGGTCGCAGTCACTTGCTCAGCCAGATTGCAGAAGTATTTGTTCCTTGTAGATTCTGTTTTGGAGTGAAAACTCCACAACAGACAAAACCCAGGTGTGGTTGTAGGGCTGGTCCACTCCAGGCAACTCCCCCATCTTAGTCCCTGTAAAGACTGCAAGGAAGCAGGGGTGAATCTCCACGAGGTCTGGCTCCCTCTGCTCTACACAGCCCTTCAACACTTTCCCAGCTGAGTTTGCACATCCACATGCTCTCAATCTATTGCTGAGTAAAGCAACACGGGTCTACAGTTTCGTGTCACAAAAATACCTTTCTAGTGGGTTGCAACATGGCTCATAGGATATTTGAGATGCTTGAAACTTTGATTTCCCATAACACACACTCTAAGTAGTAATTTCCCTTTTAAGGCTGTGTTGGGTTTGTGTGTAGCAGGGTTTTGGTAGTGGGGGAGGGAGCTGCAGAGGTGGCTCCTGTGAAAAGCTTCTCTGCTCTCCTCTGGCTCCAAGTTGGACCCACTTCTGGCCAAGACCGAGCCAGTTAGTGAGGGTAGTTGCAGCTCTGTGGTAACATATTTAAGAAGGGGAGCCTGAGAGGAGGGAGGGAGGGAGGGGGGAGTTGTAAGGGAAATACCTTTGCAGACACTGAGGTTGGTTGAAGAAAGGGAGGTGGAGGAGGGGGAGGTGTGCTGAAGCAGACACTCCCCTGCAGCCCGTGGTGAGAGGCCAGGCTGTGCCACCACAGCCCAGGGAGGTCACCGTTGGGGCAGATGCCCACCTGCAGCCCGTGGAGGACTCCACACCAGAGCAGAGGGCTGTGCGTAAAGAAGGTCATGACTCAGAGAAGCCCACGCTGGCACAGTCTGTTCCTGAAGGACTGCACCCTGCAGGAGGGACCCACGCTGGAGCTGTTCGTGAAGAGCTGCAGCCCCATGGAAAGGACTGACATTGGAGCAGTTCATGGAGGACTCTCTCCTGTGAGTGGGACACCACGCTGGAACAGGAGAAGAATGTGAGGAGTCTTCGCCCTGAGGAGGAAGGAGGTGTGGCAGAAACAAGGGGTGATGAATTGACCGCAACCCCCATCCCCATCCCCCCTGTGACACTGTGGGAGATGAGGTGGAGAAATCAGGAGCGAAGCTGAGCCTGGGAAAGAGGGAGGGGTGGGGGGAAGGTGTTTTTAAGATGTGGTTGTATTTCTCACTGCCCTACTCTGGTAAATTAGTGGTGGTGGTGGTGAAATTAAATTGATGTTCCATTTTCTTCCTCAGTAAAGTCTGTCTTTTGCCCGTGACCATAATTGTTGAGTCATCCCTCCCTGTCCTTGTCCTGACCTCCAATCCTTTTGTTTATTTTCTCCTCTGTATCCCTGAGGGGGAAGGAGTGAGCAAGCAGCTGCGTGGTGCTCAGTTGCCCTCTGGGCTTAAACCACGACAAAGGTCAGAAAACCCATAATGATGCAGGGCTCTCTGGAAGCCCAAAGCTGCATGGCTGTATAGTCCATTGATAGGTACAGAACACAGAGGGGGGTGTAGCTCTTGGTTTAGAGACCATGGACACCTATGGAGCTGGTGCATTTATTAGTCTAGCCATGGAGCTGCTATGATCCAGGGCACTTTGTCGTGCTAGTTCTGGTTGCCTTAAATTTAAGTTCTCTAGTTTTAAGAATTAGGTGTCAAAGTTATTTTGTTGCTTCAGTGTAGTTCCATTGCTATCTTATTTTTAACCTTACACACATCTTACATCCAGAGATTAAAAGTGTGATGCAGATTTCAAATCACAATTACTCCTTACTGGGATATGAAATGCTGTGTTCCCGTTGTTACTGTTACTAAAAGGTATCCGGTATGAGAAGAAGTAAGTCTTCTTGTTACATGTTTGTATTTTTTTCTTAGAGAGCAGTACTTCTGAGTAAAACAAGATTTAGTATCATGTTCTGTAAGCATGTTGTGTTTCACAGGTATTCAGGCAGCTGATGCCTATGACACCCCTGAATTATTTAATAGCTTCCATTTCTTTGTTCAGTAGAGTTTTATAAGAACTGAGATAAACTCTGCTCCACTTGGCATCTAAACACTCTACTACATCATAAAACTAGGAAACTAGAGTGCTTAAACACCATGGTGGAATTAGGGGCACTGGACAAATGAACCACTTCCTAGTGAAGTCCATGGAATTTCTTCCATGGAATTCTGTAGAAATCAGTTGTACCCTTGATTGACAGAGGTGTGTGACCTGAAAGCTCCTTGGTGGATGGTGTCCTTCCATGACAGCCATAGCTACGTCCACCAAGGGAAGCTGGATTCAGAAGTGTAACATCTCATTTGTTGCCTCTGTCCTACAGTGAAGCTGCATCCCTGAGTCAGGCACCAAGTTCTTGTAAAGTCAGGGCCTAAAATGATATTCATCTAAGCTGTCAGGCCTGAGATAGCTGGTAGGGAATAGACATAGAGTTACCGTCCTGACAGCTGTTGGAAAATGGTGCTTCCTTTCACTCATGTTGCACAGACTAATACTCTCCCAAGGTTAAGTGCTTTAAGGAGGTTGGCTGTTTCTCACACACAAGAGGAATTGGTGCCACATCATTTAATAAACAGCATTAATATTTCAGATTGCTTCCTTGGGGTATGAAAGACCAGAGTTGAAGTCTCTCATCTCACTGAAGGAACTTGAACCAATATCTCCCAGGAGAGTACTGAAAGCCACCAGACTCTAGGCTATTTTTGAGCAAGTCCTCTCTCTGTCCCACTGAAGCTGTTCAGCTTTGTATGGGCTCATTAAATACCCATTCAATCAGT